ACGAAGAGGATCAAGCGGCAGTGAGGGGAGACAAAAAAGCTATCATTCTGTGGCCACAGGAAGAAACATTTCATCAGGTACCTGGCCTGGTACATGTTCCTTGTGCACTACCGGAATGAACATAAGGATGCACTTCTTGCATGCTGCAGCTTTGGACCTCCTACTGGCCGGATCGCACCTCCTTTACCATCCCAGATCAGCGGCAGGTATCGGTCAGGTTAGTAACTCTGTTATAGCTTGGCTATTCGCCCCACTTGTAGTTCGTGCGCTCTATCCTGCTGTCATTACGTGAAGGATTCTTTGTTTTCATGAGCGGGCGTTAGGAAGCAGCTGCCTCCCATGGGTGAGTCTCAGAAAACATTACCCCCTACAATCAGCAATATAGTAAGGTATTATTATCATTAATATTTTCATTCTTAATATTGTTAATTTACACTGCAGCTTCCCTAGTACCTTTCATGCCCTCCCCTGCTTTCAAGGCCAAATATTTGGCCGGGGTTTCCGCGGCACAATTTCTATACGTGTGTGTGTAATACAGGGTAAGATGAATCTATCAAAACCAAAATTATCGTAATCGGTTATACGAAGATGTGTGTGTGAATGCACACACTCACACACAAGTAAACATGCCCGAATGCTGCCTTGTGCATAGACAAAATAACCCACTGCCTTGTGGTATCTATAAGACGAAAAGGCTTTAGGAGTCAACCATGAGTAAAAATCCGGAGCCGGAGTCCCGACGTCAGTTCGTTGTTGCTTGCGATCTCGTTCTCGCAACTCCTGCAATGCCGCTGGTTTCAAACTGTATTGGTCTATGGTGTTTCTTTGGATCCATCAGTTGGGGGAGGGAGGGAGCCTGCTGTATGGGCAACAGCTTGCTCTTCACATTCTTTTGCCCAGGCAGTGACTCTACCTATACATAATGTATATATACACAAATGAATAAACAAATTTATAAAAATATATTTGTATATATATATATGTACACACACACACACACTAATCATCATCTTCATGAGGGAGCATACACATGGCTGCACTTTGCCATACCCATCTTTTCCCTCCACCTCCTGGGGTCCCTCAGAGCAAGCCTCCATGCAGCATTCCTTCCCACCCACAACACATCTTGGCAGATCTGATCGATTTGCTTCAGCCAGGAGTTCCGTAGCCTTCCCCATGGTCATCTCCAGCCTGGGTCAAGCCTCTCGGAGATGACCCTAAGAGCCGGATATTCCTCAGGAAAACGAGCCACATGCCCATAGAGCTGAAATTATTGCTCTCGTACCAGACTGGTAATAGGTCTTGAATCAGTCTCATGGAGTATCCTCTGATTGGACACATGGTCCCTCCAGGTATACCCCATGATTTTGCGAAGACACTTAGCACCCAAGGAGTCAAGGATCCTTCAGAGCACTGTTCAGTGTCCAGGTCTCACACCCATAGAGTAAGACCAGGATCAAAAGTGCTCTGAAAAGCCTGATCTTAGTTCTCCTAGTCAATACCGACAGTGCCAAATACTCCTATTGAGTGAATCCATAACGCCATAGGCCAGTCCGAGTCGTCGAGTGACTTCCCGGTCGGAACCTCCATCGCTCTGCACCACACTACCAAGTTATCCAAGACCTTAATGTTCTCGCCACAGTCATACACAGACTGTACATCGACATCCAATAAGTCCCCAAATTTCTGAGCCTTGGTTTGGTCCAGTTGACTGAGAGTCCCAACGGCTTCGCCTCCTCATGCAGTGCCTCAAGAGCTACTTCCAGGACCTCCATTGTATCTGCTAGAATCCCTGCATCATTGGCAAATTCAAGGTCAAGTATCCAGTCCTTACAAGCATTGAAAAGGGTTGGGGCCAGGACACATCCCTGTCTCACCCCGGCAGACACCGGGAAAAAAAAAGAGATGCCCTCCCTACACTTGACAGCACTTTCGGTATCTGTATACAGGCCAGACAGCAAAACAATAATCCCAGTAGATTCCGCGGAGACCCAGTAGGCTCCAGAGACTCTCCCGGTGCACTGTGTCGAAAGCCTTTTTGAGATCAACATAAGTTGTAAGCATGCCTTGCTGAAACTCGACTCGGCATTCCATAAGGACATGAAGTGCTAAGACACGGTCTACAGTTGATTGCTTAGGTCTGTGTGCTCATAAAAGGTGGTTGCGCACTCGCGCCAAAAGCAGATGAGCAAGGATCTTGCCTGTTATACTGAGCAATGTAATACCTCTATGGTTGCCACAATTCCTTTGGTCCCCTTTCCCTTTCCAGATAGGGATGACCTAGCCTCTTTTCCAGTCAGGAGGAATGGTACCAGTCTCCCAAACGGCAGACAGGACTGCATGCTAACCACAGATCATGGCTTATCCACCCGCCTTCAACAGCTCCGCAGCAATCCCACAGACACCAGTAGCCTTTCCACTCTTCAGCCTAGAGACCGCCCTTCTCACCTCTTCGATTGAAGGTGGTGCCTCACTGATTGGTGGATCAGCCACTAGTGGC